CGCCATCACAGTCACAGCCGGCAACCAACTATGGAGAGGATTTGCCGAGCCAGGACGACGTTTTGTTCAGTCAGCAATTTCACGACCAGCATCCGTAGTTTCTTTTATTTTTATTTGTATATTATGAATTTAAAAACTTATTGTATATTATCTAGTTATTTATAAAATATTTTGTTTTTTTTATTTTTATTTATAATTTTATTTTTTTATTTTTAAAAAATAAATTAATTATTTGTAATTATTTTTTAAATAGGAAAAAAACATTTCCAAGCAAAATCCTCGTAAAATATTCCAAGTAATATCCTCGTAAATAGTTCTAGTTATTTCCTCGTAATGTATCACTACGACCTTACGAGGAAATACTTACTACGAGCTTACGAGGAAAGCTTCCTAAGACCTTACGAGGAAAATATTACCACGCCTTTACGAGGAAAGCTTTCCTCGTAAATTCGCTACGACCTTACGAGGAAAATGGCTTTATAATGAACGTGTTTCGAGGAAACGCGTTTCCTCGTAAGTTCCTAGTAAAATGCCATTTACTAGGAACTAACGAGGAAAACCCGTCCTAGTAATGGACGAGTTTTCTTGTAGTGAAACCCTTCTCAGTTCTCATATACTATTTATATATGACTTTTTCTTTTGGAACTTTTTGCTTATTGAAGCTATTAAAGGATTGATTCTCGATTATGCGGTATTTGTAAGCTATGAATAATAAAAACAACCGTTTTATTAAAGTGATTAAACAAACGAAAAGAAAATGAAAGTGGGAAAATGGGTCCGTACTAATGTATGCGATCTTCTCTTTGTATCGGATTTTACTTTCTTGGCTACGCAACTTTTGACCAATTAGCCCCATATTAGCCTTTTTATAGTTTTGTTTAAGCAATTAATGATTTTATACTTAAACTAAATACATAAATTTCAAGGCAATTAGCATGTTTGTGTTAGCTTTAATAGCTTATCATAATGCTATGATTCGGTGGTCCAATCTTGTTATATAGTTGTTACTTTGTACCAAATTTTCTTTTTTTTCTCATGGTTTTCTTTGTTTGTTGTCAATCACTTTGTCATTTTAGTAGTGTAGTAAGAGTATGCGAATAGATGCCTGAGACAAGAAAATATTAAAATGCATTATAACGTTAGATGGGTGATTTTACTCGTTCAATTAACTCATCAAATCGAATGTTGTCAAGCTGACACACGTACGTACGCTCATATATTAATAATACATGATTCCGTTATTTAAAAACAGCAAATAGTGTTTTGAACTGAAACTTTTACTATTCTTGTATCTATATTTGCATGTCGACTTCGCTTTAAAACAGTATTAAGAAAGAGTTATTCACATACTAACACCATATCATATACTATTTCCCATTGGTATATATAACAGAATGATACATCCTAGGCTCATGTATGGAACGTTCATCATCTTTTGGTTAATTTTAGTCATAGATGATATGATGGAGTGGAAAGAAAGCTAGCATGTGCTAACATTCGAGACTTACAAAACCAACACTATCATTTTTAAGCTAGAGCAAGAGAAGCCAAATCCAATCAAATTGGGACAAAACAAAAGTACTCGAAAATAATCAAATATTGGATACTATTGTCCATGACATTTGAGACCAAGTCTCTTTCACTTTTCATCTCCCCCATCTTATGGATCATTATTAGTAGCATCAAATCAAATCTTTTACTTTTAGTTAATTAATTATCGTTATTTTTTGTTTTACTCAAATCTCTTCTTATAGAAATTTAATTTTACAAAAAAGAGAGTTAAGAAACAAATTAAAAGGAAACGACTCTTTGCTGTTGTAATTGGTGGCACAGAACAGAATAGCAAAACTTATGTTCCGCTTTTTTTCTTTTGTCAAACACCACAGATTTTGAAATTCTCGTAATAAAGATTGATTATTAGAGCACTCCCATCGAAGGTTCATGGGGGTGTCTCATACGAAAACCAAAAAAAAAATTAAAAAAATATATATATATATATAATATAATTGATGAAAAAAAAGTAAAACATTCGATTTGATGATGGAGGTGTTCTTAGTTTAACCACATGACCGTTCAGGGAGTTTTACTGACTATAGCCAATTTTAGTAAAACATTTTTAAAAAAAATTAAACAATTTCGAAGCTTTATTTACGTAAATTAATTTGGGGATATAGATAAATGTCTCAGTATCTATACTCAAAACCGGCTCTGCATATACAATACAAAATTAGATAACTAGAGGTTTATCTAGAATCTGAATGGTTATGATAGCAAACTTTGGTTTCATTTCATCTAGTAACCAAACTTTTCTTCTTTCAGAGTAATGACATCTACAATTTAACAAGAAAAAAGTACCATGATTAACATAGATAGTTATTATACACAACTTACTTAATATTGGCGATACTAATTAAGAACGAAGGAACAAAACAGTTTTAGAAAACGGTAATTAAAAACGTAATATCCTCAAAAAAACGTATGAAAATGTTGTAAAAATTAATATAATCACCCCCAACCACTTAAACTAACAATACATTATTATTATACAACTAAACTTGTAGCAATAGCTCGATTCGTATTATCCAAACGAGTGGTCTCGTACACTGGTAACTCTTCTCGATACCTCTCGATCCCAACAGCCGCAAGATTCTCCAACTCAAACAGATCAGAACTCGCGTAACTCGCCGCATCATCATCCTCATCATCCTCCTCTTCTTGAACGTTGTCGCACGTCTTGTTCTTCTGGTACGTTCTAATAAGATCCTTAGCCGCTTCAATAACGCGACGATTCTCCTCCTCCATGACGTGACGATCGACGTTTTTGCCATGCAGCTTGTTACTACTATAACCGTAAGGGATGTGAATGGACGAGTCCTCGTCGAGGATAACGTTCACTGGACAGAACCTAACGGATCTTTTGGATTTTCCACTTGAGGAAGGAGTCTTGCTTAAGCAAGATCTTGAGAAAGAGGACGTGGAGGAGCATGTGGTGTTGGAGGAGGATTGTGGTGGTGGTGGCTCGGCGGAGGAAGTGACGGTGGTGTTGATTTTTTTTAGCTTTTTATGGTTACTTGCTGCGTTGGTGAAGAGAGAGTTGAGGAAAGTAGCGAGACGTCCTCCAGGGGAGAGAGGCTGTTTCACTTTTTTCAAGTCGGTGTAGATCTTTAAGGCTTTTGACTTTGTTCTCAAGAAGCTACCGTGCTCTTGTTTGCTGCTAGGTTTCTCGATGAGTGTGTTTGTTCGAATAGGGTTTGGTTGACGAGTGTGTGGAGGAGGATTGGTGCGTAGGTAGAAAGAGTCTGACTCTGAAGAGGAGAAGCCGCTTGAGTCAGAGGAGGTTGAGTTGGAATATGTGAGGAAAACTGAGGAGGTGGTGGTTCGACGTGATCTCTCAAAGTCAGCAGCGATGGAGCGGCGGTGAAAGATTGGAGCATGTTCTTGGTGGAGAGAGTGTGGTTGTTTCTTTTTTCTGGTGGATTCTAGGGGAGGAGAGTCGTCTATGGAGCGGTAGATTTGGTCGAGGAGAGTGGAGGAGAAAGAAGGTTGACGGTAGTGATGGTCTCTAGAAGATGAAACTCTTGGCTTCTCCCAAGTCTCCATATTTGTTTAGAAGAAGAATGAGCTTTTGTGAAGATGTGTGTGAGAGAGAGAGGAGGAAGGAGAAGGGAGGAAGTGTGTTTTAAAAGAGAGGAAGGAGGTAGACAGCTGACAATCATTGCCACGTGTCGTTCTCGACAGCTTATGGGACTATGCCTCTGTCCACAAACACCAATCATACTTTATTTACCTTATTTTTCTTTTATATACTGATACTTTATATTATAAAACTTCATGTTTTGAATAGAAGAGAAAAACTATTTTACTTTGAATGGTTCAAGTAGAAATGAGTAATCCATTTACAAACTACATGCGGAGGATCAACAACGGTTGTATATAGTATCCGGGGTCGGAGCTTCATTTTCATTTTGAAACAAAATCTTAATTATATAAGAACACCTCTAATGGAAGATTCTTACGGCGAGGTTCTTAGCAGAATATAAAAACTTCATCGTAAGAACTTTTCATTTAGAATGATCTAAGAAGTCTAGGTTTGGATCGATCTAGACAGTTTATAGTTCCATAATATGTGATCCAGTTACTTCCCATCATCAGCAGAAAAATATTTCAAACTCAGACCAAATAATGTAGTGACATTTCAGAAAAAAATTTACTTTGTACCACTAAATCTGTTTTTATCAGAACTGACCTGATAGGATATATAAAAAAAACATGTAAATAATATGATTTTAAGTGAATTATTGACTACATTGACCTAAGCCACCAAACTATGAATAATGGTCCTTGGAGATAGTATCTAAAATCATAAAACGAAAAGACCTGTCTAGATTGCTATTTTTATTCTTTACCATGATTCATGGTGTCTATTTTTGTATTCTTTACCATATTTTTATATCTTCTCAAATCTAAAATATGTATTTTCTTTAGTCATGAATCGAAATGGTTAGGTTTAAGAATTTGTCTTGAACCAAAAGAATTATGGTATAACACTGCTGGGTTACAGAGCAACTTAGCCTTTATTCACATGACATGACCCAAAGATTCACTTATTTGTTCCCTACTTATAAAGTAAAAGATTAAAGTTGTTCCTTCCCTCATCATAAGTCTTGTTTGTTTTTCATTTTATTTATTTTCCGTATTATTTAAGTACAAATAACAAAAAATCTGTAGTCTATTACAGCAAACCCAATATTGATACTTGGGTCCATTACACATTTATTTTCTTCTAAAAAAAAAAGATGCATATTTAAGTAGTACATAAAAAATGCATCGTTCTACAATATTCGACCACATTTTCTTATTCACTGATTGCACAAAGAATTCAACATTTTGTGAAGATCAACAGACAGAAAACTATTAGAGAAACATAGAGAGATGATCTTGAGTTTAAAATTACAAAAATCCCTCAGGGTTTGGGTTTCTATAGAGACGTTACGTTCCTGAGATCGTGATCGAAAGTAAAAAGGAGACACCCTTGGAAATTAAGCTTAACCTATGACTATATGTCTCTACTTTGGTATAAAAAGAACAAGCATCTTGGTTTCAGGTGGCAGTACAAGTGGGACTAAAAGTCATACAACAGAATATTTTGAGATCATTTATATTCTAAAGTTCTTGTGTGGAACTCGTAATATGTGGAATGATTTACGGTGATATATAACGAAGAGGTTAGTTAGATGAACTTGTAATAAATCTTGTGTGTTTCTTAGAATTTCCTAAACAGAGTTTCAAACAAATCTAGAAACAAACTTTCAAACTCTACAACAACCAAAAAAACTCGACATAGGTTGAAGATGGAATATACAAGTTATGAATTTGAGAGAAATTAACCGAACATTAAAGATAGAAAATATGAGAGAAGAAAAACAAAGCAGTGGATATTTTAACCGTACGGGAACTATAGGCTTTAGCTTTGGAAATCAAACACAAAAAGAAGAAGCAACCTTCTGTTTGTGAATGAATTGTAAAGAATGGTTAAAAAGAAAGGACTTTTTGGAGGATGAAGGAACATTCAAGTAATGCGGCTAAAGAGATTATATCACTTATTAACCTAACACCAAACCAGCATTTCTCATTACTAACCATAATGTTGCAGCCCACTTTTAATTGGCAATTGAGTTCTCTGTGAAGTCATTATAAGAAAATTAATTTACATTTTAGCTAGACAAAAAACTGCTTCAACCATTCAATTTAATGAGTCTAATGTATCTAATTATCTATAATCCAAAAATGGAATTAAAATGATGTCTGAGAATTTTTTCTAATATGTCATATCGATTGATCTGATCGATTTCGAAAGAAACGCACTTAATATTATACAGTGGTCAGTGGACTAAATATGACACTGCATGATATGAGTTTAGAATGCATTCTGACTAATACTAAGAAGTAACGTCTCAGGACTTTTGAGATAAAGGGTATATAGTGTATTCAGGTTCTGAAATATTCAAACTCAATACGTCTCTTATAATACTGTTATGTTTGTGTTTGAGAATGCTATGTTTTCGGTCCCTAACAAATTCACTAAAAATTATAGGTTAATAAAACGTAGGAGCTTTATGCTAAGAAGCACAGGGCAAAACAGCAGGGAGCCAACAGTATAATGGAAATGATTAGACATAGACAGCGGGATTAAGACAATATCATCTATCTGATTAACAAAATCAGGCTTTAGCAAGTAGAGATGAGTTTTAATTATGATGAATTACTGTTAACGTCACTTTCTTTTACCATGTAGAAGTGACCCAACACTTACTTATAATATCAATTAACATATTTTTAATTTTGTTTCTTAAACAACAGTGACACTATTATTACCTTACACGGATATTTTTTCTACAAAAGTTTTTGAATTCAAATAATTAACTTATGTCATGATGACTTACGTTTATGTTAAAATCTATAACTCCTCTCTTTTTCCGGTTTTCACCCATTAGGATCCTTTATTTCTTTAGACATTACAAAAGAATCCTTTTACACAGCTTAATTTTAACTTTGAATCATTGAATGTAATCAATATTTTTTAATATTTTTTTAAAACTATATGTTGTGCATCCTAATTAAATAGTTATTTTAAATTTATCGTTCCAATCCCCTCCTAATTGCTGCCTAACGGGTTGCCTTACTATTTGAGCGAACTTAGGCTTAATTAGTGCAGAGTTTAGGGACATGCCATACTGTATATACTAATCATTTTATATATCTTATATGATTTATTTTAGAGATAACATACTTGTTTAGATTTGGCGCTAACAATTAATTGGTGCAAATACTTCACGGAGTGTGTAAAATTGGTTGATAAAATCAAATGGTTATTAATATTACGATGTGTGTTTTCTAAGAACTAATAAACGTGTGTAGATTAATTAGTCTCCCACATGTATGATATGTAAAATTAATTACTATACGGTTAGCGAGTGGGAAGCATCTTATGATGGTATAAATATTCTTAAATTGACTTTTTAGCCCCATAATCTTTTTAATTATCTCGTATATTGGTTGAATTGTGTGTGTTTAAAGAGAAAGAACATTTTTCAAATACAAATGTTAAAATGATGCCGATAATACACGCATAGTGCTCTTCTTATTTTTATTTATTTATTATTTTGTGGCAAAACTTGTATAGTAATCTATATGTTGGTTAACCTTCTATTCATTTTTAAATCGCAAATTTCCCTTAGCGTAACTTTGTTTTTGGGATGTATGTTTAGAACAATATCGTAGTAGATATGTGATACAAAATTATGCATGTTCAAAAAGTTAATGGTGCTCATTTGGAAAATGATTACGCCCGTGGGCTAAGGAAGCTGCATTTATTTATTATTCTAATATCATCAATCAATACTTGAAAAAAATGAAGCAAAATGACAGATTACTATTCCTTAAATTAATGTGTTTATTATAGTATATAAATATATAATATACTAGTCGTATAAGTTTATATCGTTATTTTAAAATTACTGATGAGCCTAAACATGTCGAATTATGTTAAGAAAGTGATACTTAAGTGTTAGAAAATGCAACATAAGGTTTCTTACCAAAAAAAAGAAGAAGAGAACATACGCACACACATGTTGTTTGTGAAGGATCGCTCCTTCGTTTCCACGATACTTCATACTCGTAGAACTCTTCTTGCTTTGTCTATATGCAATTACCAGGACAATGGTGTAGTTCATGTAAACAAAAACACGTAGAGAAAAGTGATGGATTCATTTTGCTTTCAACATCTGCTCCCACTATACACATTCTTTAATATTTTGTTATCCTTTTGCGTTAATTTGATGTAATATTTTCATTTCTTTTCTTATAACGCCTTCCATAAACTATAAAAAGAACTAATTCACATAATAATAAACAAAAGAGTAGCAGGGATTGCACGCATGTGTGGATATGATAGACAAAAGAAAGACAAAAGATTCGGATCACATCATAATTCGAGTTGGTGCATACAATAGCAAAAAAGCAGATTCCTTTTAAATCAAAATAGCTAGACAGCACACCGTGCAATCTCTTCATGAGATACGTTTGATTTTTTCATATTGTGCTCAAACAGACCAATCAAATGAAAAAAAATATACTTACCACATACATGTTGGTGTATGCGTGTCTATGAATCACTCCACTATCTGGACTGGACATGTCCTTTTGTTGACATTCACAAACAACGTTTCAAACCTTTTATTGTAGATTCTAACATTACAATTGCGTCTAAACAAAAGTAGCTTAGATGATTTGTTAAGAGAAATTAGTCTTTTTGTTTCAACAAACTAACCTTTAATTTAGCCAAAGTGGTAGGAGTTAGAGGTAATGCTTATCAATCCCCTTACCAATCATGGGTACTTTTGACTTATTAGATAAAGCTATATATATATATTTGGTTTTAAATTAAAACTGTCAACTCTATTTGAGAAATAAACAGACTTTTGATGTAAAAAAGAAAATTAAACAGCCAATTCTTATTAGTTATTATTTTTATTAGAATTTTTCTATGAGAAGAGGGTCAAGAACGGCCAAAATTGTTCATCATTCTTTGCCTACTTACATGCGGGTTATCTAACTGATGACCATGAGCCCCTACTCTAGCCAGTCTTAATCAAAATCCATTTTTGTTACATATTTTCCTCAAACCA